TTTCAACTGGCGCCTCTGCGGCGCGAACACTCTGGGTCGTGCGTGACGTCGTCGATCAGCGGCAGCCGGTTGTTGGGCGCGGTGTGCGCGGCGTGCCTGAACGCAACAGCAAGTGCCGGGCATGTGCCGCTAAGGAACTGGTCATTTCGCGGGCCTAAGATCTCCCCCAGCGAGTTCCGAGCGCCGCCGCCGTTCAGCCCCACCTCCTTTGCGCCCCACCACGGCCCAAAACGCCCCCACGAGGCCCCCCCCCCAAAAAAACAGGAGGCCCCGACAAAATTATCCCAGCGCGACCCTACCTAGGAGTTGGAGCATCTAGGAAAGCAACATCTACACCTGCATCTACATCTACATCAAGATCAACAGCGAGACTCACACCTATATCTACATCTAGACCTACATCTACACCTACACCTACACCTACATCTACATCTACATCTACATCTACACCTACATCCACATCTACACCTACACATATATATATATGTATGTATATCTATGTATGTGTGTGTGTGTGCATCTACACTTTCGCATTAGTTTTGCTTTTGAGTTGTATTGCCTTGTCTTTGATGTTGCTATGCTATGCTTATGAGTTGCCTTTGATTTGCCTTTGATTTGCATTGCCTATACTGCGCTATGCTATACTGTGCTATGCTATGCTATGCTGCGCTATGCTATGCTGTGCTAGGCTATGATCTGCTATGCCATGCTGCGCGATGTTATGCTATGCTATGCAATGCTATGCTATGCTATGCTGCGCTATGCTATGCCATGATACGCTATGATATGCTGCGCTATGCTATGTTATGCTATGCGATGCGATGCTATGCTGCGCTATGCTATGCTATGCTATGCTACCCTGCGCTGTGCTATGCTGAGCTATGCTATTATATGTTATGGTATGTTGCGCTATGATATGCTATGCTATGCGATGCGATACTATGCTATGCTATGCTGCGCTATGATACTGCGCTATGCTGTGCTATGCTATGATGTGGTACGCTATGATATGATATGATATGATATGCTATGATATGATATGCTATGCTAATGCTGCGCTGCGCTAAGCTAAGCTAATGCGAGACAAGCTAAGCTAAGCTAAACTAAGCTAGGCTAAGCTAAGCTAAGCTGAGCTAAGCTAAGCTAAGCCAGGCTAGGCTAAGCTAAGCTAGACTAAGCTAAGCTAAGCTATGATGAAATAAGCTAAGCTGAGATGAGATAAGCAACGCTAAGCCAAGGGAGCGTCACTGGGGGAACCGCGGGGCGGATCCAGGGGGAACCGCCCGGCGCGGGGTCCACTGCCCACCCCTTTAAGCCCATAGGGTAAGAACCCTTCTAGGCAGAGCCTAGGTAGGGAACAAGCGTAGTGCGTGCACAACACGTGGATACTGCGATGGAAACAATCGACACTACCGCGCCGCAACAAAACCATACAAAAGATGTAGCCCAAACCATTGCACACAACAATGTTTTCGAGAATGCAGCTGGCGCTCGAGCCGGAAGCCAGCGCCGCCAGCGTCGACTTAGTACACCCCGTAGTAGCGCACAGTCATCGTCAAGGGCGTGCCGAATAATCAAGCCAGGTGACGCTCCCAGAGGGGAACGATCCTCGCGAGGGGCGGTAAGTATTGGGCCAGGTGACGCTGTGCGAAAATGGTGGAGCTGACAAAGATGACGGTGATGCTGCGCATCATGGCCACAATGCTTCTGTGCGACGATCGGCTGCGCTGGGTCCGCGCTGGGGCGCGACGCGGCGCGACGGCCCCGACGGCGTGACCCCATGCGACCTTCCACAACTGACGGCGCTGGCCTGCACTTGGCCCACACTGGGGCGCGACGCGACGGCGGAAGACGCGGCGCTAACGCGTGACGCTATGCGACCTACCATTTGCAATGGAACAAAAGAATCTACAAAAAAACGCCAGAACCCAGACAACCCCTCCAAGATGGTAACGATAAGCCTCCCTGGACGAAATTACGGCCACCGCCCGGGCGGGAGCACCGTTCCCAATCAGGGATGTCGCTGGCGCTCGGGTAGGAGCACCGTTCCCAACCACGGATGTGGCCAGCACTCGAGCGGCGGCACCATCCCCAACCAAGGATGTGGCCAGTGATCGAACGGGAGCACTGTTCCCAATCAGGGATGTGGCCGGCGCGCAAGCGACAGCACCAATCCCAGGCCAAAGCACCATTCCCAAACAGGGATGTAGCCCGCGCTCGAACTGCAGCACCATACTCAGGCAGGCACGTGACCAGCGCTGAGGCAAGACGAGCAGCCCCAGTCAGGGATGTGGCTAGCGCTCCGACAGGAATACAGCTCCCAATCAGGGATGCGGCCAGCGCTCGAGCGGCAGCACCATTCCCAATCAGGGGTGTGGCTGGCGCTCGTACCACACCCAATCAAGGCTGTGGCTGGCGCTCTGGCGAGAGTGCAATCCCAGAAAGGGATGTGGCCGGCGCGCAGGCGGCAGCGCCATTCCTTCGACAGAACTTTTGCCAGCGCTCAGGCGACAGCGCACCACCGATCAAGGATGTGGCCAGCGCTTAAGCGAGAGCAACATGCCGACACAGGAGCATGGCTGGACTTCCGGACGCCCTGCTCCTTGCCCGACACCCCCACCCACGGAACTTCCGTTCTTGGGACCCGCCCACCCCACGAATTCCCGCCCAAAATCAACCGACGCCCCGCTCCTCGTCCGACATTCCTACCCACGGAACCTCTGTTCTTGGGACCACCCCACCCAACGATCTCCCGCTCAAACTCGACCGGCGCCCCCCTCCTCGTCCGACACGCCCACCCACGGAACCTTTGCGACCCCCCACCCCACGATTTCTCGCCAAAATTCAACCGACGCCCTCCTCCTCGTCCGACACCCCCACCCACGGAGCCTCTGTTCTTGGGACCACCCCACCCCACGATTTCCCGCCCAAAATCGACCGACGCCCCCCTCCTCGTCCGACACCGCACCCACGGAACCTCTGTTCTTGGGACCCCCCCCCCCACCCAACGACGCCCCGCCCAAAATCGACGGACGCCCCCCTGCTCGTCCGACAATTCCATCCACGGAACCTCTGTTCTTGAACCCCCTCCACCCAACGATTTCCCGCCTTCTGAAGGGGGACGCCAAAATGTGCTGATACCGCTACTCCCCGACCTCTCCCGGGGTGGTTTCTGACCAGGACTTCGGGGCGAATCCAGCGGTGGCGACGAGGGCCTCCCAGGAAGCTCAAAAAGGGGACAACCCGCGAAGGGTAGCAGTATGGGTACCTTGTCCTCCTCTGACTGAGGGGGAGCGATAAGAGGGAGGGGGACTGGTTCTAAGGGGCAGAACCATTGGCCTGGACTCGGCGATACGTCGCCAGCAGATCGGCGAAAGGCGCCCGATAGTAAGTCCGCAAGATCCTAAGCGGGGTGGAAGAACAGGCCCCCTGCCGGCGATGGATGGACGATCGGGGATCGATGCCCCCCATCCCCTGAGCCAATCTTTGGTCGACCCAACAGGGGGTCCAGCAGAAAGGCGGTGGTGCAATAGACTTGGGGCAACTCTATTACAAATGTATTGCGACGAAGAATGGTATTGCACTGTATTGCAACGGATGCATTGCACGCGAAAGCCCAGCAATGCATTTGCGCACCGCAATGCGCTGCACGCCCCAAATCTATTGCAACCCCGCACACCTATTGCACCAGATCTATTGCACCACCCCTTTCAGCTGGACCTCCTTTTGGATTAAGCAGAGATCGGGGGGCGATGCACTCCTCTCCCAGAGCCTATACCCCCCCTAACGTTGCCCCCTAGTTGTTGGCCCTTAGCTCGGCTCTCCGGCGGCCGCTCGGGACGATCCAGGCACGCCCAGAACGCTCTCGACGAGGTGCGGAGACCACCCTGGGCATCGAAAATTTCTGAGAACTGCGGCAAACCATCGAAAACCGACGAGGCGCAGCTGATGGCGACCACCCTGGGCATCGAAAACTTCCCCCAATTGTGGCAAACCATCGAAGGCCATACTTTTTCTGTTGCTGGAAATGGCTAACGTCTGCGTTGCTGGAGGTGGCCAAAGTCCACGTCCAGACGTCCAGCCGCGAGGACGCTCACCTGAAGCAGCTGAGCCCGTATTAGCTTGGGCCAGATGTAGGAAGAGCGCCGGATCCATGGATCGCCACCTGCGAAAGTTTGCGGGGCGTCCGAAGAGAGAGACAGAGAGAGAGAGAGAAAGAGAGAGAGAGAAGGGCAAAAACTCGAGGTGCGGCGCTCTGTTTGCAGAATATTCGCCAGGGGAGGACGCGGCACTGAACCCGCCGACCCCTTGGGGTCTACGGCGCGTGAAGTTGTTGCCCATCCCTGCCTCTCGGGCAGTCCCAGGGCGATCTTGAAGACCTCCTGGGTGCTGAAATCAAGAAAGCAAATTACCCCAGTGCGACCCTACGTTGAAATTGAAGCCGCTAGGAAAGCAGCATTAGTTACTGTGCTATGCTATGCTATGCTATGCTATGCTATGCTATTATGCGCTGTGCTATGCTATGCTATGATATGCTATGTTATGCTAAGCTATGCTATGTCATGCTGCGCTGTGCTATGCTAAGATGTGTTATGATATGCTGTGCTAAGCTGCGATATGGTATGATATGCTATCATATTGTATGATATGATATGATATGGTATGTTGCGCTATGCTATGCTATGCTAAGATGAAGGTAAGCTAAGATAAGATACACCTGAGCTAAGATGAAGCTGCGCTAAGCTAAGCTAAGATTAAATAAGCTAAGCTAAGATGAGATATGCAACGCTAAGCTAAGGTAAGGGGACGTAACTAGGGAAACCGCGGGGCGGATACTGGGGGAACCGCCCGGGGCGGTTTCCACTGCCCGGCCCCTTTAAGAAAGAGAGTAAGAACCCTCTAGGCAGAGCCTAGGTAGGGAAAAAGCGCAGAACGCAAACTGTCGTGCGCATCGGCGCATGGACAACGGACGCAAATCAACCGATTCATGCTGGCCGTACTCATTGGGAGATGGATAAGAGGGAGAGGTGCCGAACGCAAGCTGCCGTGCCCATCGACGCCTGCGTGTGATCATCTTCTCCCAGCAACCCTCCGATGGTGAACCTAACACGATGGAGGTGCTTGACGTAGAAGTTCAGATACTGGGTGCCCTGCTGTGTGTGCCCACGGACAACTTTCAGTTCTAACTCCCCGAATTTTGTCCAACTCATCCCCTTCCTCTGAACTTGAAAACGAAGACCGCCTGTCTGCCTCGCCTCCGCCCATGCCCCTGCGATATTCACCTCTTGGAAGTACATGTCTGCGCAATGTCCACCCACTTGTTGTACCAAGGCCTCTACATTAATCAGTGTCGTCTCGGCAGACGCTCCCTTCGGAATCTGTATCGAAACGTGCTTGCCAGGCTGCATTAGGTCGAACCGCTCACCAAAAATGTTCTGCAAATGCGGATCACCGGTAGCAACCACAGATGCGCAGGCTCCAGCCCCGCCCATCGCTGGCGTCTGGTAGGGCGTCGGGTTGGGCGTCGGGTTGGGCGTCGGGTAGGGCGTCGGATAGGGCGTCGGGTGGGGCGTCGGGTAGGGCGTCGGGTAAGGCGTCGGATACGGGGTCGGGAAGGGCGTCGGGCTGGGCGTCGACGCCGAGCAAGTGCACCCGCCACACGTCGGGCTGCTTTTGCCGAATGAGATCTGGAAGAAGGCGTCATTGTGGTACCGACCGTCGAGAGAATCAACCACGACTCTGATTGTGTGCGGCCCAGCTGAAAGCGAGAACGTCTGCGAAGGCATGTTGACATCGCACACGATGCAAGTGAAGGCCTGGCATGCGCTGCCTCCGTGGCCGTTTGTAGCTTGCACCGTGACGCGCAGGACGTCGTCCACGTACAGCTGGAATCTCTCGTAGTGGGCCTCCGCCGCGCCCGTCATCGAAAGGGTCAGGTCGAGGGCGAAGCGTCGTTCAACGTGAGAACTGCGTCCCCGTGTTGCCTGGCATTCGCCACGCCAACGCAGATCGTATCATCCTGGAAGTCGAAGCGGATGAACGCTGGGGTGCTTGACCAAGTGCCATGCGCGCCATGCGAAGCGAACGACCACGAAGATGTCTCCCAGTGGCCTGCAGCAGCCTTGACCCACCTGCCACGCGCTGCACTCCGCCCGCTTCGACTGCGCGGACGTCGTGTTGGCGGCCAGATGCTCGCGCCAGCTGCTCGTCGCCAGCTGCATGCAGGACGCGCCTGGCAGCCCGAGAAGCACGAGAGATTAGACCATCCCAGACGTCGTTATCCGAGTAAACTGGACGAGAGGAAGTAACGCGAGTTCCATAGGACCAGACGGTTGCGCGCGTGCGCAAGCCAAAATACAAGTTCGATGTTTGAGCCAAGCTGGCTACGGAGGAGCCGCGTTGTCCGCCGTGGGCGCCCATGGCCTCTGAGAAGCAGCTCTGGAGGGGAAGGGTCGGGCCGATGGGGGGAGCTCTGAAGCAGTCTGGGGTAAACGTTGAACCCTCTTGGACCGCCTTGGAGGGTTCGCGGGCCGAGCAGGCGGGAAAACAAACATCTTACAAACATCTTACAAACAACGATGGAGAATCAAAGGTTTGCCTGCCCCTCGCGGGCCCCCCTTGGGGGCCCTCTGGGAGCGCCTTGAAGCGTCTTGGGGGCCCCTGGGGCTACTTGGAGCCACCTTGGGCCGTCCTGGAATGCTCTTGGCCCGTGTCCGATGCCTCTGGGATCGTGCTGGGGGTTCCTGGAGTCAGTCTGCCTCCTGTGTTGGGTTCTCGTTTTGAATAGAGCAGTGGTCGCCCCGTCCTTCCTCCTCCTCCTCCTCCCCTCTCCTCCCCCCCGCCGTCTCTCCTGGTTCCTGTGTTCCCCTCTCCTCTTCTCTCGTGCCGTCTGCGATCTGCGCAAGGCGCCACTTTCGTGGGCTCCTGGGAGGCCCAGCGAAGGTACGTCCCACGCGGGTCACCTCAGTACCTCGCCGCCCCCTGGGGGGCTTGAGATCTGCGCAACTGTCCCCAGTTTCGTAGCCTCCTGGGATGCCCAGCGGCGGTACGTCCCACGCGGACCACCACTACAGCTCGCGGTGCCCTGGGTGGCTGCCCCTGGGGGGGCTTGCGATCTGCGCAACCGTCGCCACTTTCGTGGGCTGCTGAGAGGCCCAGCGGAGGTACGTCCCACGCGGATCACCTCGGTATCTCGTCGCCCCCTGGGGGGCTTGCGATCTGCGCAGCCAGTTTCGCGGACTCCTGGGATGCCCAGCGCAGGTACGTCCCACGCGGACCATCACTACAGCGGGCGCCCCTGGCCTCTGGAAAGCAGCTCTGGAGGGGAAGGATCGCGGGCCGCTGGGGGGGGCTCTGAAGCAGTCTGGGATAGACGTTGGACCCCCTTGGAACGCCTTGGAAGGTTTCTGGGCGTCGGGCTGGGCGTCGGGCTGGGCGTGGGGTAGGGCGTGGGGTAGGGCGTGGAGTAGGGCGTCGGGGCGGGCGTCGCCGCCGTGTACTGAATGTCGATCTCCAACCTGGATGCACAATAAACCTGAGCTAAGATGAAGCTAGGCTAAGCTTAGATGAAATAAGCTAAGCTAAGATGAAATAAGCAACGCTAATCTAAGGGAACGTCACTGGGGGAACCGCGGGGCGGATGCCGGGGGATCCGCCCGGGGCGGGGAGCACTGCCCAGCCCTTTAAGAGAACACGGTAAGAACCCTTCTAGGCAGAGCCTAGGTAGGGAAAAAAACAGGAGGCATCCAAAATACCCTAGAGAGGCTCCCAGAAGGCCCCACAACTGGACCACGCGTGCTCCGGACGTGCACCCCACGAAGCGAGAGGAATCCACGTCCGGAAATGACGTGCTGAGCGACAGCGTCGTCTGCGGAGGCGGTGATGTGACGTACCCAAACGTTTCCAATGGGGTAATTGCTACATAATTGTATTGTATTGCGTTACTATGTCTCCCCCTACACCCTGGAGTCGCGCCACTTCCGTCGACCCAAACGTGACGGACCCCTCCGAGCCGCAAAAACCTAGAAAGACCAATGGTAAATTAATGATTTCGGCCCCTTGGGCCTCTGGGGGCCCACGAGGGCCTCAAGACAACTCCAAATGGCCTTGAGGCGGGCCACGACGGCCCGATGACGGCCCAAGATGGCTCCAAGAGGGCTCCAAAAAGCCCCCAAGACGACCCCAGAGGGCCCCAAGAGGACCCAGGAGAGCCTCCAGAAGCCAAAGTCATTGATTTCCTGTGGGTTTCGCAGGATTTTAGCGTTCTCGCTTTATTTCGACTCTCAGGGGCCCACGACGGACCAAGCAGCCTCTCCCCAAGACGGCCCAAGACGGCCCCCAGATGCCCCAAAACGGCACCCAGGCGCCGCCACCTTGGGAAAGAGCAACGGGTCTGACCCAGACCGGGACGCGCGAAGCGCGATGATCTTCGCGCCCCTGGGGGTATCCGAGCTACCTGTGTGGCGGGAATGCAGGCGGGGGTGAGCGAGACGGCCGTCCTTCGGGGGGGCAGCTTGACCCCTCCCCCCTCCCCGCCCCCCGTGGGTCTGGACGGCGCGCTCCGCGACCGAGTGGAGCGTTCAAGATGGTCCCAGGATGGCTCCAAGAGGGCCCAAGAAAGCCGAAGATGGTCCAGGACAGCGCAAGATCGCTGAAGATGGCTGCCAGCCTGCTCCAAGAGGCCCCGAGACCGCTCCAAGACGGGTCCAAGTGGCCACGGAGCCTCACAAGGATGCCCCCGAGAAGCCAAAATCGCTCCAACACCAAAGAACTATCAATGTCTCTTGCATGATCGTCTTCTCGCTTCCGATGCGTTCTCCACGAGGGCCCAAGAGAATCACAGGAAGGGCCAAAGAGGGCCGGCCCCACGATCGCTCCAAGAGCGCTCCAACAGGGCTCAAAAAGGCGACTCTTGGTGCTTAAGAGGGGCAGGCGCAATCGGGGACCCCCCTTCGCTCAAAGCCAGAATCATTGAACAGCCACTGGTGTTTCGAAGGTTCTGGCATCTCGGGAGGTATCCTTGGAAGGCTTCCTGGCCAACGTGGCTCTAAGATGGCCTCGGCGAGCCCATGGCCCTCCAAGATTGGTCAGGATATCCCGAGATGGCTCAAGATGTCCACCGTTATGCCTCCAAAATGCTCCAGTAACCCCCAAGGCAGCCCACGGTGGTCATGGAGCCTCCCAAGGAGGCCCCCAAGAGGCCAAAGTCCAATCAAAACCTAGTAAGGACAATTACGGTTGTTTGTATCATCGTCTTCTTACTTCCGATGGGCTCTGGAGGCCTCAAGATAACGCAAAGAGGGCCACGGACGATTGCCCCAAGAGCGCCCGAGAGCGCCCCAATAGCCCCCCATCGATGATCCCACAAGGCGGTTTTGGGGGCTGAAGACGGGCGTAATTGAACGAACGAACGAACGAAGCTGCCGACGCCGGGAGTCCGGCGACCGTACAAGGGCGGCAGGCGCGCCCAACGCGCTGGCCTCCAGGGAGGCCGGGTAGCTGATCAGGTGCGAGACAATTACATGTAGCCAAACGCTGCTGCGAAGAAGCCAAACGCTCCCCGCAAGATGATGAAGATAGATCGATGACGACGACAGATAAACGGATCAACGCCACGTGCTTTGAACGTACTCACCTTCAAAATGTTGCCAAGTCTCAGATATTGCCGCCATGTCGCTCCACGATTCCCATCCGTTGTCTTTTGCAAAAGAGGCAATGTCATCTTCCCATCGCACAAACCGCCCTGGTCGACATCGAACCGGGCAGGCTGCTGTTCCCTTTGATTGCTGCGACCACCAGGCGTAATTGAAGACCCCACTTATTTGATCGATATCCTCCTAGATGGCCCCAAGCGTGCTGCACGAGAAGTGGAGTTGACGACTTCAATAAAAATACGATAACTGCACCACTTTGAACATTATATACTGCACCTCCTGTAGCACGCAGCAGATATTGCACTACATAGTTCGCACCGCATGGCTTGCACTGCGCAGGTTGCACCCACAGTTTTCACCACATATTGCACCAAGGTGCGAAGGTGAGGTTCACACTCCCGCCCCCGGATCGAACAGGAGGGCGCGGGATCGATCCTCTCCCGCGGTAAATTCAGACCGAATTTGAGCTGAGCTTTGTTTGAGCTTTGTTTGCGCTTCGTTGGCGCTTTGTGTGTTGAGCTTTGTGTCTGGGCCTAATTTGAGATTTGCCTGAGCTGTGTTTGAGATTTGTTCGAGCTATGCTTGCGCCTTATTTGAGTTTTGTTTGAGCTGCGTTTGAGCTTAGTTGACCTTTGCTTGAGCTTCGTTTGAGCTTTGTTTGAGCTTTGTTTCAGCTTTGCTGGAGCTTTGATGTGAGCTGTGTGTAAGCTTTGCTTGAGCTTGGTTTGGAAATTGTGTGAGCTTCGTTCGAGCTTTGCTTGAGCTTTGCTGACCGGTGTTCGACCTGTGCTGTACTTTTTAAGCTTGTTGTCAGCGAAGCGGGCGAGGCTGCCCGACATCACACGGACAATCATCTCTTCCGCCCTGTCTTCAGGTTCGCATTGCGGCAGGGGGGAGGGCTCTCCCCCTCCCCCCCGGTTCAAACTGGGGGGGGGGTCGCTGCCCACTCTCCCAACGCCCCACGGCGGGGCGCTGGTTCCCCCCCCCCCCGGTCACAGCCGGGGGAGGGAGAGCGGGTTCTGGTAAAGCCAACACTTGGTTCTATTTAGCGAAATGATTTGCTGTCCTAGTCCTGGTCATGGTTTTCTTGTGGCGTTGCCATTCCTGTAGTTTTCACTATTAGTCTTCTGGGTTCTCTCTGGCTTGGAGTTTACGATCGGGGGTTTTGAATGTGAAATGTCCTCGAGGCTGGCGCGCGGGAGTTCCCGAATTCCCAGAGGCCCGAGAAAACAGAAACACAAGGAAACCAACAAACTGAAAGTCATACAACA